AAGGCCTAAAAGAACAGAGATTTTAGCAGTCATTTACCACAGAGGAGAGAGAATTTGGAGTTTGAAAGCAGCAAAGTTAATAATCTGCCAAATCAAAAAACAAAATGAATCAAAAAATACTCTTTTTGAAGATCACTCAAAATGTTCCAGAAAATATGGGCACGTGGGTGGGTGGCCCAGTCAGTTAAGTATCTGACTTTTAATATCAACTTAGGTCTTGATCTCAGGGTCTTGAGTTCAAACCCCTTGCTGCTCCATGCTGGGTGTAGAGCTCCCTTAAGAAAAAAAGAGTCACTACAGCAAAAACTGATGATATACTATATGTTGGCTAATTAAAAGTAATTTAAAAATGTCCAAGATATAATTCAAAATTCCTGGACAGGAAAATTTTCCCATATTCAAAAGAAAAGGCAATTAATGGAGACCAAACTAAGTTTACCCAGATGTTAGAATTACTCCATAAAGATTTTAAAGTAGCTATTATATATATGCTCAGTAATGTAAATAAAAAATACACTTAGGATGAATAGACAAATAAGAAATCCCAGAAGAACATCATCTATAAAAATGGAAATTATGGAACTGAAAATTAAATATCTGAAATAAAACTTAAAAATTCCACATTTCAATGAACGGGCTTAAAAAGTGAGTAAAAATAGAGTTAGGTTATCTAATTTAAAAAAAAAGAAAATGGGACAAAGATTAAAATAGGAATGAATAAAGGCTCAGGGACTTGAGGGATGATATAAAAATGTTGAATATATATTTAATTGGAATCCAAGAAGGAAAGGAAGAAGACAGAGTAGGAAAAAAATTTAAATAAAAGTTGAAAAATTTCCAAATTTAGTGAAAACAGAAACTTACACACAAAAGAAGGTCAGCAAATTTCAAGCTGAATAAATGCAAAGAAAATCCATTTAGGTACATCATAGTCAAACTACTAAAAGTCAAAAGTAAAGAGAGAATCTTGAAAGCAGCCAGAAAAAAATGATACATTACATGCAGGGGGAATAATGATACCAATAAATATGGACTTCTAACTGGAAATAACTGAGGCCAAAAGAAAATGACATGTCATCTTTATAGTGCTGAATGCGAACAAATAAAAGAAAACCCTGTTAGCCCAGAATTCTATAACCAGTGGAAAAATATGATTTTGCTCATATGTGGAAACAAAGCAAACAAGCAAAGGGGGAAAAGTGGGGGGGCAAACCAAGATACAGGCTCTTTTTTTTTTTTTTTTTTTTTAAAGATTTTATTTATTTGAGAGAGAGAAAATGAGACAGAGAGCATGAGAGGAGGGAGGGTGAGAGGGAGAAGCAGACTCCCTGTGAGCAGGTATCCCAATGCAGGAACTGGATCCAGGACCCTAGGATCATGACCTGAGCTGAAGAGAGTTGCTTAACCAACTGAGCCACCCAGCCATCCAGAAGCAGGCTCTTAACTATAGAGAACAAAGTGATGGTTACCAGAGGGGAGGTGGGTGGTGGTGAGTTAAATAGGTGAGGGTGATTAAGGAGTGCATTTGTGATGAGCACAGAGTGATGGATGTAAGTGTTGAGTTACTATATTGTACACCTGAAACTAATATAACACTATATGTTAACTAACCAGAATTAAAAACTGAAGAATTCATGGAAAAGAAAAAAATGAAAGTGAAATAAAGATGTTTTCACAAATACTAAGAGAATTCACAACTAGCAAAACTTAACTCTAAGGAATCTAAAAGAAGTTCTATAGGCTTCAAGGAAATGATACCATTTGGAAATACGGATTACAGAAAAAAGTGGAGAATATCAGAAAAAGTAAATGCAAGGATAATTAAAAAAAAAAAAACCCACTACTTTCCCCCAAATACCCTAAAACACATATTTCATTTACAGTAAACCAAAAATATTTTATTTATATTAAAGCAAAATTTTAACTTTTTAAAATGGGTTTATAACACACATAGATATAATACACAAAAACAATTACAGCATAAACAACAGGATGTTGGTGGTGAATGGGTCTATATGGTTGCAAGTTTCTTACAATTATTTTAAGTATTACTATATTAACTCTAAGTAGACTTTGGAAAGTTAGGATGTATACTGTAATCCCTAAACCAGCAGCTGGCAAACTACAGCCTGGGGGTCAAATCTGAACCAGCACTTGTTTTTACAGAAAATGTTTACTCTGTCCTGACCTAGAATAACCACTTGAAAATAAAAGTTCAAAGAAGTATAACTAAAAAGCCATTATCTAAATTAAAATGTGGTGCTCAATGCCAGAAGAAGACACTGAACAACAACAGCACCACTACAAGGGAAGAACAATCATAAAGTGGTGGATCGAAGTACAACCAAATTGATAATTGCATTAAATGGATACGGAACAAACACTAACTAAAAGGTAGAGATTTTCAGAATGAATAAAAAAAGAAAGGCCCAATTATAAGACACTCACTTTAAATACCAAAACGCAGATGGGTTGCAAGTAAATGAATGGAAAAGATAAGCCATACAAATCGCAAACATAAGTAGGCTGGAGAGGCTTATTAACCAAATAAAGCCAATTTAAAAAACAAACAGTATTATCAGGAATGAAAAGTATTACCAGAGATGTGGAGGAATATTTTGTAAAAATAAAAAGGGTCAGTTCATCAGGAAGACATAATAATCATACACATGAACTCTAAAAATAGTGTTTCAGAATATATAAAGCAAAATTTGACAAATTTAAAGAAAGAAACGTAGAAAAACAAAATCATAGTGGAGATTTAACACCCCTAACTCATCTACTGAAAGAATATCTAGATTTCTAAAAAATCGTTAATAGTTATAGTTTTTATAAGATTTAGAAATCTAAAAAGAGCTACCCAGGTTTTATCACCTTAATAACACCATGGATCATGGCCTTTCCTCTTAAGTCAGATCTACATGTGGATGGAAGGCAAGTATAGGAAACAGAGTTGACCCATAGACAAATGCAATTTTGCTGGTTACCTTGACACGCTATGTGTTAGCATTTTTTATTTCATACCTGGCTTTAGAACTGTAATTTAGAGATGTCTCTTTATTTTATAGACAAGGAAAATACCATCCAGAGAGCTAACCCATTTAATCAAACTCAATAGCTATTAGGAGCATGTACTGGAGGAAAGGTCAATCAGACCTTCAATATATCTTTCTATTATACAGCACTGCCTGCTAGTCAACAGTTGCATGAATGACTAGAGACATTGTGGAGGATCAAACCAATCTTCAGGGCTGTCTCAATTTCTTGGACTGATTGATCCTAGCTTCTGTAAAAAAAAGTCTATTTCAGTTCAGTCAAGAAGAAGGGGACAATGTAGGTAGAGGGCCATGTAAACCTCAAAAACTACTATCAACTTATGATTTAATGTACGACCCATGTCATCCACTAACGTAAATTTACTCAATTTCCTGCCTTAAGCCATGGTTACAAAATGGTTCTAATGTCTTTTATTTGATTGAGGAAGTCAAACATCACATTTCACATTTATCTAAGCATATCTAATAGGCTGCAAATGAAAGTAAATTTTTTTTAAAATTTTTTATTTTTTATTAACATATAATATATTATTAGCCCCAGGGGTACAGGTCTGTGAATCGCCAGGTTTACACACTTCACAGCACTCACCATAGCACATACCTTCCTGAAAGTAAAATTCTAAGGAATGTCGACAATATATAAAATGAGTAAGTAATTTTACTTCTCTAGGCCTCCCTTCTCTACAGTAAAGGATGACCATGATGAGCTTCGAATTTTTCTACTCATTGCCACGTATTTTAACAGTGCAGCAAAGTGGAAAGAATATACAGAAACACCATTTGCATTGATATAACAGAAACCCAGATGATGAATATTAATACTCAAAGAATTTTTGGGGGGAATGACTTCAATGGATAACACTGTCACAGACAAATTCTTTTCCCTGGATGTAGTCATTTTTCTCCTTCAGGTCTCTGGTATTTTAGATCTGACCACTGTCAAATACAATGCCATTATGGGAAACAACAGGCAGGGGGCAGCAGATTTCAAAGAGGAACAAGTAAACAGTGACCTTAGAGACAACTATAATAGCAGAAAAAAACATTTTTCTCTTACCTTTTTCTGACTCTTCAGTTGCCGTCTATTTAAATTATTATTTATTTTTATAACTTTAAATTGTATATATAGATATGTATATGATAAAGCCAGATGTCATTACAAATTATAATTATAAAAATTATGATTCTAAATAAAAATACACGAGATGTACAAAAGCTCATACAATTAAACTTATGTATTCAAAATTTTATATACATGTACTAACATATGTGTGTATACATATGCATATGTGTATCTTTTTGTGTTTTTTTTTTTTTTTAAGTATGTCTCCCCTTCACTAGGGGAGACATACTTAAAAAAAAAAAAAAGAAAAAGATACATATCCACATATCTTTTTTAGCTGACAATCTCCTGCTTGTTTCTTCACTATGGCCATAAAAAAGAACTTGTTGCCACTCAGGGGAAAAATTGTATACTTCTGAAAAGTTGTTTTGATAGTAGGAAAATATCTAGCATTGTATAATATTCAAAATTCTTAGAGCAGTGGCATGGAAAAGCATGGTGACACACACAGAGCCACATTCCAAGGGTCCAAAAACACTCCAACAGAATTAAAATGAAAGTAGGCAAGAAATTCCTTGTTATGTTAGCTTTATTCATATTCCCTTCTATTTATATGATATCACACCATTTAATTTTAAGATGGATTTTATAGAAAAACTAATTATACCAGGGTGGAGTGTAACAATTATTACCATCAGCTTATAAACAGGTAGCACAAGGGCCTAAAATAATTAAGCAACTTGCACAAATAACCCATCCACCTAAAGACTGAAGGAGGAAAAGAACTAGTACTCTTTCAGTCTAATGTACTGATAACAACAATAGTTGTGCCAGAGAATAAAATGGAAAAAATTTATTCTAGCTTAATTTTTATTACTTACTGGTTTCCCTTGAACTCCTCTCTCTCCAGGGTTTCCAGTCTTACCCTACATAAGGAAGAAAATGTATGAGTCCCCTAGCTCCTTCACCAAATACTAACCACACACCAAGAAAAACAGGGAAGATTAGATCTATTTATCTTTAATGTAAAATGTTTTACTACTTACGATAAGACCATAGGGCCCTCTTTTTCCTTGATCTCCTTTTTCACCCTATCAAAGTATCAGTACCAGAGGAGTTAATATGAATTATGGTTTTCACGTGCTAGCATATACTCACATACAAGAAAATAGGATATCAGGTATATAATTCAAGATTCAAAAGAAAGTATTTGTCTGTGTAGAGTAAAAATTTTATGTATGTTTCATACTTTTACTAAGAGAAAATTTAGAACTACACTTTTGTAAGAAAATACAACAGTTTTAAAGCAGGTAGAATACATATGGGCTCAAAAAAACGTAATGCATATGAAATGAAAAAATCAGTATTTACCTTGGCACCTTGTATACCTTGTTCCCCAAAGAGACCATCTGGTCCTCTTGGTCCCTAGGGATGGAAAATTTCTATTGTTGATCAGAAATGTTATTATTATTATTTTTTTACTGTTATACATCCTTACAAATGAACAAACTGTGTTCTTTTTGACAAATTCCTTCTGCTTGCTTCTATACCATGACCACAGAAAAGGATCAGCTAGATACATGGATGAACCTATTTGTATGGGATAATCAAGCTTGTGCTTTCAAGATCTACTGCCAAATAATTAATCAGGTGGCCATAAAAACAGCTGATTCAGTTGTTGAGGTGATTATAATATAGGTTTGTCATTAGAATATTTTATTCACCTTGTTTACGCAGGGGCCATTCACAATTTATTCTAAGAACAACTCTACATTAACTTAAAAGTGGCTCGCTTGTTTGTCCAATAGTCTTCTCAAGTTTTATATTTTTGGAATGGCACTCTTCTCTTTATTAGAGAGTGAGTGCTGACTGCATTGTACCTGCTATGCCCCTGCTTGACAACACTTACTGAAAGGTGGCCAGCGCACAGAAAAGGGACAGAAAATAATGCTGGGAATCTTCATCTAAATGTAAAACTTCTCAGCTAAGTTGCTATCAATATTTAGTCATCAGCTGTGAAGAACTGCTAGTTGTAAAAGTTACTCTCTAATAAAATGATGGTTATATGTCTCCATGCCTATAGAATAACTATCCTTGGAAGATCTTAAAGACTCTCAATTCTACAACACTGACAACACTACAATGTCTACTATGGAAAAGGTACCGCATTAAGTGTTATGGGGATACACAATTGTAAGCAAGTTTCTCCTTCTTGAAGCTTAAAGAATGGTAGGGTGAATTATATAAATGATGATGATATAGGTTGAGACAAGGCATTTTTTTTAAAGATCTTATTTATTTATTTGACATACAGAGATCACAAGTAGGCAGAGAGGCAGGCAGAGAGAGAGGAGGAAGCAGGTTCCCTGCCGAGCAGAAAGCCTGATGCGGGGCTTGATCCCAGGACCCTGGGATCGACCTGAGCTGAAGGTACAGGCTTTAACCCGCTGAGCCACCCAGACGCCCCGAGACAAGGCATTTTCAGGGCTAAAAGGATTCAAAGGAGGAAGAGAACTTTCACATGTCTGTATAAAGAATAAAGGTATCATTTTGACAGATGGAGATCATGCTCTAAAAGGAACTCTGGACAGAGGGATAGGATAAGAAAAGGGTACAGAGGCAGGAAAGAAGATACCCAAGAAAGAAGAAAGTAGTTTGTTTAGCTGGTTTATTGACTATAAGTAGTATTTCTCAATATTTCTAAGTTTTTCTATACTAAGAAATAATTGTGGAAAGCCTGGAACTTAAAAGGTCAAAGACTGGAGTTTATATTTAAATCAATGGGTAATGAGAAGGAACTGAAGACTTCTTTTTTTCTTTAAGATTTTATTTGTTTGAGGGGCACCTGGGTGGCTCAGTGGGTTAAAGCCTCTACCTTCAGCTCAGGTCATGATCCCAGGGTCCTGGGATCGAGCCCTGCATCGGGCTCTCTGCTCAGCAGGGAGCCTGCTTCCTCCTCTCTCTCTGCCTGCCTCTGTGACTACTTGTGATCTCTGTCAAATAAATAAATAAAATCTTTAAAAAAAAAAAGATTTTATTTGTTTGAGAGAGAGAGCGGGTGCCTGTGCACTCAAGCAGTGGGGAGAGGCAGAGGGAAAGGGAGAAGTAGACTCCCTGTTGAGCATGGAGCCAGACTCAGGGATCTGGGCCTCTGGGATGATGACATGAGCCGAAGGCAGATGCTTGACCAACTGAGTCACCCAGGTGCCCCAAGAAGGCACTGAAGATTTCTATACAGAATAGTGATACAAATTTCCTAGGACAACAGATTCCTTCTCTTTTCTCCCACCTGAGGTCAGCTTGGTTTAGCTTTTATATTCTTAAAAAGCTGCTCACTGTAATAGGACTCTCTTCCTGGGTGCTCTTAGGATACTGCATTCCCTGATCCTCTTAGGCACATTCAGGGCATTAGAGAGAAGGTTCACACTCCATGAGATCTGTAGCTCTACCGGTCATACTAAAGTTAAAACCATAGCTCTAGCCCTTCAATCTCAGTTTGTATTGAAGGTACTCCATGACTTGGTCCTACCTTCTTTGCCCTATTTTCCCATGAAAGACTATCAAGCTGAGTTTCAGTCTTATTGTGTAGAACGTTGACTGTCAAGTTGAGGAATATGGATTCAATTTAGTAGGTAAGAGAGTGCTATTGATTTAATAAACATTTGCTGAGTGCCTATTGTAAGCCAGGCATTGCTTCAGGCACAGAAGATACAGCGGGGAGAAGAGACACATCCCTGAACTCCTAAGCAATCAAATAAATACCTAAAACTATAAAATGACAGTGAGTAGTCAAATGTAATGAAGTAAATAAAGGAGCTTAAGTAGAGAGAATTCAAGATGGGGAACTCTATTTTAGAAAGGCTAGTCTGAAAAGCCTCTCTAAAATGGCATATAGGCAAGATCATCCTGACAGAAGAAACAGAATCTACAAAGATCCTGAAGTGGGCACATGCTTGGAATGGTTAACAGTTAAGTAACTGAAGAGGAAAACAGGAACAATTATTAAAGGATGACTTTGAAGTTTTAAGTGAAAAGATCCCTCAGGACCTTATTCTAAATATAATCTTCACCTTACAAATTCAGCAGCCTATATTGATTCTCTTTCTCTGTCACCTTCTAAGCCCATTCTCCTCTTTCTGCCCTGTAAGAAAACACTTTTCAAAATTTTTTGGAGTTATAACAGAAGGTGGCTGAAGGAATGTGAAAAGGAATGAGTGTTGTCCAGTGACAGATGGCAGCTACTCTTGTGATGAGCGTAGCATAACCTACAAAGTTGTTAAATCACTATGTTGTACACCTGAAACTAATGTAACATTGTGTTACATTATTATTATTAGTGTTACAACTATACTTCAATTAAAAAAAAAAGGGAATAGGTGATCAACATTCTTAAACACGGCAGAAAACAAGTGAGATCTAGACTGAAAATGTGTTCACAGGGAATTAGGCACTTAACCCTTTTGCAACCTGAAATCTCTAGGTTTCTTGGATATTTTATGATAATAATTAGTAGAGTGATGACAGCATTAATAGCAAACAAACTGGAAGTGTAGATTTGCTTGGGTGGAGAGGGAGAATGAATGGAACACAATGAATGTGATTCTAGACAATCAACCACAATGAGGCAGATATCTCCAAGGCTAGTGCTAGAGAGTGCAAAGTCATTCTGTCTAGTTTTTTTTTTTTTTAATTTTAAAATTTCTTTTAGATTTTATTTATTTATTTATTTGACAGAGAGCAAGCATGAAAGAGCACAAACAGGGGATGCTGTAGGCAGAGGGAGAGAGAGAACTAGGGTCCCCGCTGAACACAGAGCCTGATGCAGGGCTTTATCCCAGAACCCTGGGATCATGACCTGAGCCAAAGGGAGACATTTAACTGACTGAGCCACCCAGGTGCCCACACTCTGTATAGGTTTAAATGGTAGCATTTGGGGTGCCTGGGTGGCTCAGTGGGTTAAAGCCTCTGCCTTCAGCTCAGGTCATGATCCCAGAGTCCTGGGATCGAGCCCCGAATCAGGCTCCTTGCTCAGCGGGGAGCCTGCTTCCATCTCTCTCTGCCTACTTGTCATCTCCCTGTCAAATAAATAAATAAAATCTTAAAAAAAAAAATTGTTTGGTCTAAAGATGGCAAGTCTCTTTTCTTTTTTTTTTTAAAGATTTTATTTATTTATTTGAGAGAGAGGCAGTGAGAGAGAGCATGAGCGAGGAGAAGGTCAGAGGGAGAAGCAGACTCCCTGTGGAGCTGGGAGCCCGATGCAGGACTTGATCCCGGGACTCCGGGATCATGACCTGAGCCGAAAGCAGTCGTCCAACCAACTGAGCCACCCAGGCGTCCCAAGTCTCTTTTCTTATATAAAATCAGATTAAGTGGCTTCCCGGATATATATGCATCTAGGTCAGGAGGAAGATCTCAAAATCAACTGCCAGTTTCTGGTTCTGAATATAAATCACCTAATGTCAAGGCTGAACTAGTGCAAACTCTGCTTTTTTCTGCTTTTTTAATATGAAGAAATGGAAGCCTGAAGATATAAGCTGCTTGATTCATATGATGTCTAAATGTATAAAGACTTTAAATAGTTATGCTTTATTAAGTTTATAATATTTTTTCAAATGTTAGAAAGAAGAAAAGGTTAATCCTGTTAACAAGTGAATTTAGATTGAAAAGAGGACCTGAAGTTTAGAAGATGTTTATAAAATGAATATGAAACATTTATAATTAAAGTGCTGATTGGCATTATAACTGAAAGGAGCTCCCTCCTTTGCTCTAAGTATAGTAATTGCATTAATTAAAGGCAATAAAACCCAAGGTTGCTGGTTAAGAGGTTAAGGCTGAAAGAACTCAAAGGAAGCTTAATGCTCTCTATGTTTCAGTTAAGGCTAAACAAGCTCTAAGGGAGACCAACAGCATTAAAACAGGCATCTAATTGGGCATTAAGTTATTTTTTTAATATCTGCTTTAAAATATCTGATTATCAGGGCACTTGGGTAGCTCAGTCAGTTAAGTCTCTGATTCTTGATTTCGGCTCAGGTCATGATCTCAGGGTTGTGAGACTGATATCTGTGTTGGCTTCCATGCTGGGTGTGCAGCCTGCTTCAGATTCTCTTTCCTTCTCCTTCTGCCCCTTCCCCCAACTCATGCACATGTGAACTCAATGAATAAAATAAATTAAATATCCAATTATCTATAAAGCTCTTGGAGAATGTATGCTAGCTAAATAAAAAATCTGATCTTTTCCTCATCATCCATAAGAAAAGTTAAAGTTTGCTACGATAAGTGGCTATTAGTAGGTTCTAAAAAGTTTGCTACGATAAGTGGCTATTAGTAGGCATAAAGTCTGGTACCTCAACTATATAAATTAAGCATGTTTCATAAAATAACAAGTACTTGAATTATAGGTAATAATCTTAAAGAATTAACAAAATTCCTGAACAGTCACATAATCCTAGAAATATCAGATGATAGGAGACAAAACCACTACTGTATATAAATGCTACAATTTTAAAAAAATTATCATTAACTAACACTAATATAAACTGCATACTAGCTTATGTAGGAAGCTTTTATGAAAATTATAAGTCCATCTCTATAATGCTTGTAATCTGAAGAGCTGAAGCATCTATGAAAAAGCAACAACCCTTATTCACAGAACAAATGTCCTTCTAACTTGGATTCAGTATGTTTATATTTCCTTTTAACCACATCCATCTTTACTTGACCCTTCTGTTAATTTTAAATTACTCAAATGCCTAACTAATTATGTCTAGCAGTCTGTTCTGGCTCTTGGTTGATATAGCTGGGACAAAACTTTCCCTTAGACAAAAACTATTATCTGTGATTTTGTGGGAAAAAAATCATTTCATTCTACTCTTGTTATAAACTTTTTCAGGAGAAGAAACCACACAAAAAGCTCTTCTCTGATACTTGGTGTGCTCTAGGTGGTACTCGCATTGAATCTAAATGCAATGGCTGGCTTCCCAATATGGTATGCATTTCCTCGAAGAAGTCACAATTTAGAATTTTTATGGTCATATCCAGTTTCCATCTTGCATAGAAAAATCTTAAAACATTTCTAATACAGTTATTTCAATCTTTTTTTCTCATTTAAATATTAAGTAGCATAGAATAAAAAATTACTCAGTTGTATGCCTCTATACCTCCCTTCCAGAGAAAGGGTACAAAATCTGAAGTTGTCTAATGGTCGAAGGCACAATCCATGGAAAGAAAAGAGATGTTAACTTTGTTCAGTGTGTCATCTCTCCTGTCAGGGCAGCTGGAGATAGGACACAGAAGCACATACTGGAGAGACACCAAAGGATGAGTTACCTAGCCCCAGTGAGTTAAATGTGCACATGAGGGACAGCAACTAAAGTTGTGCCGATTCCTACTGACCCCAAAATGCTAAGCCACCACCTTACTGGTACTGCAGTAGAGAATCTGCTAGCCTGTATTTTCTATATGGTGGATGTGATTGTATATATTATATTGATTAGCTGTGGCATATTAAATTGTGTTATTACACTTAAATGACTGTTCTTCAGCCAAACTTGGCAAGTAAAAAAAAAGGTTAGAGTATGTAGGATAAATAATACTTTAAATTCATGTCAATCTCCCACCTAGGAATCTCAAACCATAGGACTAATACTTTCAGCCAATCCTGCTCTTTTTCAGCTACATAAGAAGTAGGATTATATAACCTTCACAAAGCAGGTGAGACAAATATTCAATATATTAAGTTGTTTAAGTTGTTTCCTGAAATAGCAGACTTTGTTGTTAGCCTGAGCTTTTTTTGTCCTCTGGAAAAGTACAATGTTGTACAAAATTTCAAAAGCCACTGGGCTGTAACTAATTGAATAGTAAAACCCATGTGGTCCAGATCTGAAAGATCATTACCCCTGACTCCTCCATGGTATGAGGAGAATGCTTGACAAATTATAAGAAACCAGTAAATGTTAGACAGTTGGATGACAGACAGATGGGCATGCAGACCCCTATGAGCATGTCCTGTTATTGATGATGTTCACATGGCCATGTGATAGCAATGTTAGTCATAGGCAAAACAGTAATAAGCACTAGTTCCATAATGATAACTCTTGGTGTGATCTCCAGGTCAATGTGCGTAGGGCACAGCTTCCTCTCCAGTGTACTGTGACACAGTTGTGTGCCATGAAGAGTTTACAGATGTGCTGGGAAGATCAAACCCCTCAGCCTCTGGGGTGAGCGGGAAGAGCTGGAGCACAGAAACTTCCAGCCAGATACCTTTCCATTTATCTCTGTGGGTTAGACATGTAGTCTTTTTTTTTTTTTTTTTTGATTGAAAAACACTGGGAAAGATGGACCTAGCATATTGATATCACATCTGTAGTGGAGAACAGATTGATAAGAAGAAGATAGGAGAAACAGGAAGATATTATGTGACATCTGGGATGGAACTTTCTAATAATAATTCTTAAATATTCTGGTCTTCAGTTCTCTTTGTATTCTCAATGTTCAGAAATTGCCTGAAATATTCTCCTGCAAAGGAAGTGTTTTTGTACTAAACAAAGCCTTTATTTCTAAATAAGATTTCTTTGTTTAGAAAGTACTGAATGAACTTTAGGTAACTGTGAAAAGCCATTTTAGGAGAGAATCAGTAAAATGTATTTGGAGGATAAGAGGAAAACAGACCATTGAAAAGATAACAGTTGAGGACAAAGTGGCAAATCAGAAAAGGATAATGATCTATTTGACTAATGAATGGGTAAAGAAGATGTGGTGTGTATATACAATGGAACATTACTCAGCCATAAAAAAGAATGAAATCTTGCTATTTGCAACAAGATAGATGGAACTAGAGCATATTATGTCAAGTGAAATTAGTCAGAGAAAGACAAATACCATATGATCTCACCTCCATGTGGAATTTAGGAAACAAGACAGATGAACATAGGGGAAGGGAAGGGAAAATAAAAGAAGATAAAAACAGAGAAGGAGGCAAACCACAAGAGACTCTTAACTATAGAGAAGAAACAGGTTGCTGGAGGGGAAGGGTGGTAGAGGGATGAGTTAACTGGGTGATGGGCATTAAGGAGGGCACTTGATGGAAAGAACACTGGATGTTACATATAATTGATGAATCACTAAATTTTACTCCTAAAACTAATATTACACTTTGTTAGTGTTATGTTAACAAACTTGAATTTAAAGAACATCTTGGAAGGAAAAAAAGGGGGGGGGGGAGAAAAGGGTAACAATTACCCAGGATCATGGGGAGTTTAGAAAACCATGGAGCCAATGAACTTTCTGTATGACTTAGGAGAAAACACAAATGGTTCAGGAGAGTTCTTGCTTAGGTACATGGCTTCTATAAGACCTCAATTACTTAATTAACAAAAGGCAAAACATAGCAAAAGGTATTTCCGCTTTTTTTCAACTGTCATAAAACTGGTTGAACTTTCTCACTTTGACTAATACAAAGTTGAATAAACACATTGGAGCTGAGGAAGTACTGAATGCTGGCAAGGTACAGACTGCTAAATGACAGTGTGGGTACAGATCATCTACTGTCTTTTTATATTATTATTTTAAATTTCACTTGGGCTAAAATAGAAATGGCCATCAGGATTATTCGTAGATTGTAAATCTATAACCCAGTGAGGAAAAGAGTTTTTCAGAAAAGAAACAATAATAAAGACAAATTTCCTCTCTTTCATCAATCTTCACTTAAAACACAGGACATGAAACTAAAGTTATTATTTCAAACTGGGCATTCTTAACACTTTTCTCTCATTTGCCAACTGGAAAATGAAGTTTTTGTTTTGTTTTTAACTTTTGTTAGTTGGACACCATGTTCTTAGAATTTTCTAAATGTTTTTTTAACTAGCTCTAAAAATCAAAGTAAAGCCAAGTGAGAAAGGAGAATTCTTACAGCCCACATATTCAGATTTATCAAGGAAAAAAAAATGAAAAACCTCCTTCGTATTCTGTATGGTGTCAAATAAGCACAGGACTGGGAGATAGACACACTAAGATTTGAATGCTGGTTTTGTCATTTCTCTCTGTGTGCCTATAGGCCATATAGTGAAACTCTCTGAGTTCTGTTTTCCTCAGCTATAATATCTGAGATGATACATCTTCTTTGGGTAGTTCTAAGTATTAAGTAAGATAACAGATGTAAAGTTGCCTGACATGTAATGGACACACAGTAAATTGTGGCTCTTACTTCTTCAAAGGAAAAAAAAGGATTTAATGTTTAAAAAACTCGAAGATTGAAAGATTTCTAATTTAATTCTTATACATAATCACCAAACAATGATGATTATATCACTTCTGATTTATAATTAATTAACAGTCATCCTGCATTTGTCTTCATTCCATTTCCTATTGCTCTTTTTTGTCCTGATGTTACTACTCCTTGCTCTGTAAGTCTTTTGGGAGTAGAAAAACAGTTTATTTAAACATCTTCACACTTACAATTCTCCCAAAGAATGGAACTGGAAATTGAGAATGTGAAAGAAGAGTTCCATATGAATTAGTAAAATTTGTAGAACATAAAATGGAAAAGTATGGTTTTATGTGTACAAATGATAACAAGTCACACTTTAATTAATGCAGGTAGTTAGTTCATCTAATATAACGAAGACAAGGAAAAAGCCAACAATATCTAAGCACAATCTAGAAGACATAGAGCTATTTTTATCGAGCACATCACTATTTATGAAGTTTTTTTTTTTTTTAATTTAGGTTAATGTATTAGATTACTTCTTGCATTAGATAACTTACTCTTTGTCCTTTAGGACCTTGACTCCCAGGTGGTCCTCTTGCCCCCACATGACCCTACTCATTGAAAATTTAAAAATCAGTAACAGAAGTCACAGAAATGTTAGCAGAATAGCAAAATAGCAACATTTTTTTTATGTCATGTAATTCTCCTTGGGAATTCTTAAAATAAAATTGATTAATCTCCTTTAAAATTTGCTTTATTTATGAAATAAATGCCATACTTCCCTCCCCCATTATTCTGCTATTCTTCCCTTCCCCCATATTCCAACTAGTTTTCAGGAGGAACCAACACATGGAGTGACAGTGAAAAGAGAAAAACAAATAGCCATTCAGCCAGTCTGACTAGTTTAATCAGCTTGGTCCATCAAAAAAGCAATGGCTGTTGCTGCAAGATTTCTTTCTCATTATTCTAGAAAGTAATGATAATTACAAGAGTAATAGAGTTTTTTTCCTGTTACAATGAAAATGTCACAAATTATACCAAATATGTCACAAATAGATGTAATGAAGACTAAGTTGTCTACTTATTACTAAGTCAATTACAATGAATTTTTTAGACTTGATAGTTTTTCATAAAGACTTAATTAGAAAATAAAATTTATTTATTTATATGACATTAGGTAGATAAAAACAGTGAACTCTTACAGGATCAAAGATTTATTTATTATCTTATGTGAGTAAAAAGATTGGCAATCATACCAATCTACAGTTTGGCAACTGTACCAATCTCAGTCTTCCTAATTTTAGAAGTTAATAACATGCCTATCAAAGTACTGGAAAGCCAAGCCTTTCTTCAAAACAAGAGCTTCACAAAACAGTATAAACCATTTCTGATAATAGTTCTATTTAGGGGATTATTAAAGTTATCTTTTTCATATTTAAGTTGATAATAATGGCCAAATTTTGATAAGAAAATTTATTTCTTGGAGTCAAGATTTGATTACCTTTCTCTATATAATAAATGGAGTATTTTCAAAACTCAAGTTTTGGTCGATAAAGATATATTTTTTTCTGACTTTTATCTGGTCATTTGAGAATACTTCCAAATTTCTAAGAAAAATATTGTAACTTATTTATGTTTTGTTTATCCACACTCACATGTACACTTGATTACTGACTCTGTTTTCTTATATGTGGTTATTCAAAAGAAAGTTTAAATTTCTTTTTGTTTTAGGCTACACAATTGTACTGATTATTAAAAGTAAATAATATAGCAAGTAGCGGTGAGGAAGTTTAAGATACCATGAAATATTCTAGAGTGTTTTACATTGACTGAAGAGAGAAGTAGCCTCCATCAGTTTATACATTACTTATTTTGCCTAAGAATGAGAAGATTTTTTTTAATAAATAAATCATAGATTTAAATTTAAATAGACATTGAAGAAGGGAATATAAAGACTTTACTCACCGGTAATCCCAGTGGACCAATGGGTCCTGGATCCCCAGGAGGACCTGGATATCCCTATAATTTGAGTAAATATGAAAGACATAAAGTTTCTATCATATCTGATTATTTCCATTGAAGACAAACCAGTAAAATATAAATAGTAGTAAAAGTGATCATGTAAATAAGATCTCCCTTTCCTATCCAAGATATAAAAGGTAAGGGGAAACGTACTACAGTTAGAAATAAAACATGATTATACAGAAGCTGTATATCCTTTTATTAGTAACTCTGCCTAGAAAAGAAATTTGCTAACCAGAATCACATATTATAACCTATTGAGAAGAGAATATTCATCTTATCTTTCTGTAGGTTTTGCTATGTTATGAATAGATGGATATTATATTGTATAGATTATGAAGACTTTTCATTGTCAAAGGCCAGAGACTTCTATAATTAAGGAATGTGAATGTGTATAAATACTCTAGAGCTTGTTAAATTTTAGAAGGAACACACCCTTTACAGCATAATTCAGAGAATTACAGCATAATTCAGAGAATCTCTTAGTAGATAATAATTCCTGATATTGATTAACCTAATGGGTATATTAAATTTCTTAGTTTACAGCAAATGGACATAGCTAAAAAAAAAAATCTTAGAGAGTTTTGCTGATACAACAGAAGTTAAAACTAAAGAATAACTTACGTAAAATAAATTTGTAGACAGTCTTATGTGCCACCAAATCTATTACAATATATTTTCTGAAGCAAGATTCTTTCATTGATATTTTTTTGTTCTCATTCCTATCATGTTTAGAAACTATTTAATAAACTAAAAAAATACAATATATATATAATAGTTGTCAGCTATTACTACCTGAAAGATGCAAGATAGTAAGATGAATTCTGGATTCTGATGTTTCACATATCAAAAATTACATCAGGAGTACAAATGCATCTGGTCGTTTGAGAATACTTCCAAATTTCTAAGAAAAATATTGTAACTTATTTATGTTTTGTTTATCCACGCTCGCATGTACACTTGCGAGAGTGACAGTGATGATATGTGCTATAGAAACTATAAGCTATAAAAGAAAAGTAGAGCCCTAATCATATTCTTTTTTCATTCACTTCACTAATTTATGGTGGCTTAATTCTTCTCTTAAAGCTATAGAGTCATTTGACCAAGTCATCTGATTTTTCATGCTTTGCAGTGGCAATCAGCATTTGAAAGGTAAATAAAGGAAAGGAAAATTCAAATGGAAATATACTGTAAAATAAACACTTTTCACTTATTTAAATTTCACTCATGGTAATTCCACTTCTGGAATTATGATGTTCTGTGGAAACATATATTTCAAATCAATGACTCTTACCATAACACCCTTTTCTCCCTGGGGACCTAGTGGACCTGGACTTCCCCGTTCTCCCTTTTAAAACAAAGAAAAAAGAAAAACATTGAGGCAAATTAATCAGTCATGACTGAGATAAGCCTTGACAGGAAAACTGTCAGACTCATATCTTACATGCACATCTCATCCTAACTGCCAATACTTTTTAATTTACCAATTGTATATTTTTACCTTAAAGTTGCTATACTTCTAATATAATAAAAATCCTCAAAATATATTTCAAGAGATAAAATACTAAAAATATTTTTATAGTAGAAATGCTTATCATTTTGAGGCATATAAAATAGGAGGAGGATAGTAAAAATATCAAAACATATTTTAAGAATTAACTAATTCCTATAACCATTGAACAAAATTTTATTTCTGTAATCTGTCTACCACAAGTATAATTATGATAATCAAATATGCCATGGCACGTTAAAAGAATTAAACTGATTCACATTAAAATTCCTAGGATTAGTATAGAGCATTTGACCTTGCACAGAAAAAACAAAGAATAAAAAAAATTACAAATCTAATTTTTTAAAATGAGCTCATTTTATACTTGTTAAATTGTTAATAAAAAATCAATAAGTACATAATAAGCACTTTCAATGTACTGAGAGTTGAAGAGGTATAACAAATTTGGCTTAGAGTCTACTCTCAAGTATTTGGAGACATGATGTTAACAAAGGTCAATCAATTAGAGGACAATTAAATTATAAATTGTGTGGTGCTTATCCTAAGTCCAGGAAGGAAAGAAATCAGGAATGATCAGAGGAATCTGAGAAGACTTTATGGAGGAGATGAGACTTTGAGTCCTACAATCTGGCTTTGAATAAACAGAGGGAAACAGAGAGAATACTCAAGCTAAAAAAACAAAACAGTAAGAACAGGAATAAGAACAAGTATGTAATATATGAGAGGGGAGAGAGAAAGGTTTATATTGGAGACTATTAGAAAATGTGTTAGATGAACTGATTAAGCCAAAATTATGTAGTACTTTGACAGCAAAGTAGAGGACCCAAAGTAATTAAGTCAATAAGTCAATTAAGTCAAACCAATGATGGTTTTTCAAAATGTTTCAGATAACCCATCAAAATTAGTCCTCTGCTTGTAGTATGTAGGATGGATGAGAGGATAGAAATATGACAGGATAAATTTAGCATAAACAGATAAGAGTATGTTGGGGGCAGGGTGGGCTTTGGATTGACTATTAGAAAAGATAAATTACATAGAAAAAAACTCTAAGCCCTGCTAAAAGATTGGGCATAGAGAACGAAGGAAAAAGGAAAGCAAATATGGGTTTCACTTTATTTATTCCAGAAGCCTGGAAGAACTGAAATAGGTATAAAGCACACTAATGGACATGAGATTATTGGGAAGAGACCAGTTTAAACCTGGGGAAAAAAGTGATAAATTTTAGACATGTAGTCTTTGACTTAAACTAAACATTTCAGATAGCAATAACTGGAATAGTTTCTAATTTATTCCTAGTCCTGGCTCTACTAACTCACAGAGTAGCCTTATGTAGTAATTGCACAAGACTATCATGCTTACAATTTATATCGAGCACAACAGGTTTTAGTCAAAGACCCAAAGTTTTGGTTTATAACCTACTAGTCCATTATAAGATTCCATTAAAAAAAATTTAAAATGCCCTTGGTTTCAAGTAAAGAATTACTTTTTATTTTTTAAAAAGACTTTCCTAAATTTGAAACTCAACATGGACAATCACTCCCAAGGTAATGATTTCTAGGTCATCTTTAAGCAAATTACAATTTCCATTACAATAGCCGGGAATATGCACGAATAATTGCACACTAGATTCCAAGTGAAAAGCAAGAGATTGTGACTGAGACTTGGATCAGGTAAAGTGATAACTGAATTCCTTTCAAGACTGCTTCCTTTAGGGAGCTTGCTCTGATAAAGTTGATTTAAATATGATCTAGTCATAAATCTAGACCATCAGTTTCATCTTTTCTCTTCAGACCACATCATCACAATGCAAAGAGTAGTCTGCCCTTTATAAATTAGAAACATATATCCCATTAGCTATATTTCAATATATTTAAGATATTCAAGACAGATGGTATATTTTAAGTTATGAGTGATTTCTAATCAACATAAAATGCCATATGAATGTCTCCTGTTTGAGTTTAGCCTGGAATTCTTATCATTAAAAAAAAAAAAGAAAGGCATTACCTTTTCACCAATGCTTCCAGTAGTCCCAACTTCTCCAGGTAAACCAACAGGTCCCTTTTAGGAAAAAAATATAACAGAAAATACACTTTTTACAGCATTGCTATTACAGCATTTTGGTTTTAAGTCACCTTAACCCATGTTTCTTTTTAACTCATCCTAAATTTTATCTTAGAGTAAAATTCTTCCTAGTATAGATGTCCAGCCTATGACTTCACATCAAAAAGTAATCTATTCATTCAATCAACAAATATATGTGAATGTCTAATATGGGGCAAGCCCTGAGCTGGGAGGCACTTAGTTTCATATCCGAACACAGTCCTTGACCTTGTGGAATTTGTAATCCAGGGGATGTTATAAAGAACTGTAGTTTTCATAGCTTCTTGATGTGGATATATCAGCTCACGAAGTCATTTCTGTGACTTCTTTGAAAATTCCCAATATTAGCACACATCCATTCATTAATCCATTGTCATTCAAGAAATATTTGGTGCCTGCTCTGTGCTGTTACTACATTGCTTTGCTGAGATTTCGTTAGCAAGTAAAGCAGACCCAGGCTCTCACGAGGCAAAAAGTCTGATACAGAGACTAAAACCAACTAAATTAAAAAGTAATAATTACAAATCATCACATTGGCTTATAAAGGAAACAACTGTGATAACGAGGTAGAGACTGAAAGAGAAGAGAGGGTAAAGCTCAGGTCTGACATCTAATCTGAAAGCTGAAGAATAAGAAGAGGCCAGTTGGCCAAGAGAAGAAAGGAGAAAGAGTGTTCTAGATGAGTAAACAGCTTGAGTAAAGAGTGAATTTAGTGCACTGAAAGGAATGAAAGAATGCAGTCAGTAACACTGTTTCAAAGTGAACAAGGCTCAGTGTTCATCTACCTTGTCTTTAGGGATTCTACTTCAAACAATATAGTAAACAAAATAACATAGACCAAGCTGTACAACAACAACATAATCTTTCTCCTGTCTTCAGTTATGAAGCCCTTTTCCACTATTATTTAAAGACATATGAAGCATTTTCTTTTTCAATAGCTATACTTTGTTTAAATAGATTATTGTATGATAATATAAATTAGCGTATAGAAGGCACCTAAATCATGAAAAAAAAACCGATTTGCTATGTTGAAGCTAACTGAGGTTAAAGCATGGGGTATGATTTTATCTACATATCAATCTCTCCCTCACTCCCCTACCTACCTTTCTACCTACCTACCTACTTATTTATCTACTCGTCATGGATACACCATGTATGGTAAGCACTTCCTGTGTGTCTTATTTAATCCTCACAAGAGCCATATTTGGTAGTATTATCCTGCTACACTTACAGACAAGGCAGGTGAGTTAAATAGCTTGCTGAGGTGGATGCATTTAGGTAGTGTGGTTGAGTTTAAGTGGCTATTGAACACTTAAAATGTAGCAGATCAAAACTGACATGTGCAGTAAATGTAAAAGACATCAGATTTTGAAGACTTACTACAAAAAGAACGAAAAAATTAAATCACTGTTTAAATTGATTACATTTTAAAATGAATGTTTTGGTAATATTGCTTGGTTTAAAAAAAATGTTAGTAAAATCAATTTCTTCTGCATCTTTTTACCTTTGTATATATAGCTGTTGAAAAATGTTAAATGACATTTGTGACTGGCCTTGCATCTCTATTGGACAGCACAAATCTATATTCTCAAAAACTATTCTAATGTTAATGGTCATAACCATTAGAAGTGATCTAATATATTTCTATGATTACTGATTTTAAGAGCATTAACACTTTCACTCTGAGACAATGATCAATAGTCAGTTAATCAAATCTGAGAAGAACAATGAAATATAAATATTTGTGAGACAGTAAACAAAATATCAGAAACTGAACACAGACTAATATTGATTCAGGGGAAAAACCCTTTTCCTAACACATATAATCTAGGTGAGTGAATGGAGTAGGCCCACTTGACTTATCCCAGTATTAACTATGTGTACCAGATCAATGTCACCTACAGAGAACTATTTTGCTTAGACCATAGCAGTTGCCTACTAATTAATGGAAACTGAATTAGGTACTAAGATTTAAAAATCCAGAGATTTTATATATGAAGATTAATAAGATTCCTAGTTTTAGATGACCTAGCAAGCACAGACAAGCATTTTCGAAGGCAAATCTGGATGGATCTAAGCAACAGTTACTACTTAGATGCATTCTTTCATTCGCCACAGTCCATACCAATTGCTCTTAACTCTTATTACTATATACTACCTGCTTCCAATAGCGCATTTGAGTTTGTCAGTACTGATGTCAAGTATTAGGAGGTGCAGTCTACCAAATTTGGAAGAAATAAGTTCTCACTGGAAAATGGGCAGTTCACAGGCTTTTATCTTTGTCCATAGGGAATCGTTAATAAAACTTATATTAGGAGAGCATAAATAATGTATTAAGACTCTGATTCCTCCCAACAGTTTTCTTTAGTTTCTTCTATCTGTTTTCAGGTTATACACTTATGGAGAAAATTCTAAATTAGTGCTGTAGGAATGATGTACATTTTCCCAAAGGTGAAATGTATAAAATTTCATTCATAATTATTTCATTAGTTATTATCTACCAGGTATAAGACACTATACTAGTCAATTTAGAAATAACTAATAACTAAAATACAAAGAAGATAGCAAAAATATTACATGAAGATAAAGTACTATATAGAATATCAGATAAAGTTAAGTCAGCAAACTGTGACCCCAAAGGCTGGCTACCTCTTTTTCTAAGTTTCACTGAGACACAGCAATGTCTACTTGTTTAGTAATTCTCTATGGCTGCTTTTGCCCTACAAAGGCAGAGCTTAGTAGATGTGAGAGAGTCTGTAGGGCCCACAGAGCCCAAACCATTTCTCTTGGGTATTTAGGAGAACTACAAAGCTACAAAACTACAAAACTACAAACCACTGAAGCTGTAGCCTTCATTTATAAGAACTATCAGAAATTTATACATTTTTGACCAAGAATTTTCACTTAAAAAGTTTCAAAACACTGATTCTATATCTAACACACATTAAGGAAAATGACAAAGCCTAGAGCCAAAACACACTGTGTGTTAAGAGCTAGACAACTCTACAATAATTGAAAATATTTCATTTTTTATAAAATAGGATATATAATAGCCTATTTATAGATTTTGTTAGCTAAAGCAGAAATTCAGAAGGCCAAAAAGCCTTGCATATAATAAATCACTTTTTAGAACTGAAAAGAAGTATTATTTTTTTCAAAAAGTCAGTAAAACTCTAAAATACACTAGTTCTATTTTTTTAAGTAACCACATCCTCCTTATTCACTAAAAACTAATATAAAATTAGAATATTTCCTAGTTGAAACTAAAATGTTTAAAAAAACTTTTACATAAAGTTCATAGACTTGACAATTCTGCCTTAACTGTGGTTTAGAACTTGTTTATATCGTTTCTCATTTTCTTTTTGATACAGAAACAACTGCAGGTATAAGATAAAATAATTCAGAGCCCACATCTCTTTAAACTCACTTGAAAATGGGATATTAGAAGGCTAATTCTCGAGGATGTAGCTCAGTTTTATCTTAGAAACATTAATTTCAATGTTTGCACTTATTAGTGTTACTGAGTTTATCCACTTCTAAAAAATTTTTAGAAGTTATCTTACTATAATAAAAGCAATATTTGGTTATACTATATGAAATTGCTGATATTTGACTTTTTTTTTAAACCTTAAACATTGGTAATTTTACATGATTCAATCTAGTATAAAACTTTGAGGGTAGGAGAAACAGAAGACTGGCCATGATGAGAAAGTGACAACTTTAAGCACTACATCAGAAAATCTATTTCCATTCTATTATTTACTTCTCCTCCTTAAGATCTTATACATTCACACGTTTGTTGAAGATAGTGAAAATATAGACTTCTTGTCAGTCTAGACACGGGGAAGATGCAGAAAAGTGGAAATACAGTGCAGGTAATCGATCTGTGTAAGAAAGAGGAATGTGTTTTTAGATAAGACGGATATGAGATGTATATTGGACATTCTGGTAGGAATATTCACAACACAATTGAGTACACAGGTCTAGAGCTAAGGAAAGATAACTGTGAACTATCAACAAAAAGAGTAACTGAGTCGCTGCATCACCGAAGAGAGTATGTGGGCTGAGAAAAGGACCAAGAACAACAACATTTAGCAAGCAGGATGGAAAAAGGAAACTTACAGAATTGACTATATAAAGAAAGTGTACTGTCAAAAGGAGGATATTGTCAGGGTAGTTGGGTGGCTCAGTCAGTTAAGCATCTGACTCTCGATGTCAGCTCAGGTCATGATCTCAGGGTTGTGAGATCTAGCTCTACATTGGCCTTACGTTCAGTGCATTGTCTGGTTGTTCCTCTCCCTCTGTTCCTCCCCATTCTTGAACACGCTCTCTCCCTCAAATAAATATATAAAGTCTTAGGAAAAAAAAAAAAAAAACCTAAAGGAGGATATCGTCTATTTATTTTTGTCCATAATGTTTTTTTTTTAGACTTTTTCATTTAGGGGTAATTTTATGACTTGACAAACATGAATGAGCCTTTTCTGTTTATTTCAAAATACATCATTGTTCCTAAAAGGCTAACCATTGTATCATTTCACCCCGATTTTCAAATGAAACCTATAAGCTTAGGATATATTTGACAGTGTGATGTGGACTAAGCAACTTCAGCTCATTGTGCCTTCCTCTTTTACCATTCAGGAAGATGTAACCTCAATTTCATTAGTCTGCATGTTTTATAAAGCAAGGATAATGTCTTATCTGATACTATATCCCTTACACCTGGCATACTTCTTGGAATACTGAACATAATTACAAATACATGTTGAATGAATGAGTCAACAAATTAGATGGAGCAGTAGTGGTGGAAACAGATGAGCTGCCCACATCACCAGCAGAGATGCATAACCAGAGAGGCCTAGATCCAAAGACTAACTAAAGTGAGAGTATAAAGGCATGTCCATTTTTGCCTAATACGGGATTACTCTGTTGGGCTAATTATATGCTCCAGATCTCCCCTA